ATAAATGACGGGACCAACAAGTCGTGCGCTATTTTGTAAGCGAGACGCTTATCCATAACGTTTACAGTACCACTGAGAGCTTTAAATCGCAAAGATCTGAGACATAAGTTAACAAATCCCATATGCCTGTAATTTTACTAGCACCCTTCAAAACCGGAACGCAGTAATGATCACACTACTGCTTGGCGGCAGAAATAGGTAAGGATTTCGTTCCCCCGTAATCAACTAAACACCATGGGACATAAAATTAACATGTCTCATATGCCTGTAATTTCACAAGCTCTTCAAAAACCGGAAAAAATATACCGTATAAAAGTGCCGGCACGCTATGATGGCCGTTTTGACATATTACAATAGTGAGAGGTCAAATCTCAATTGATTATCGTAAAAAATATAATCAAATGCGAGTCACATCTATAAGTTTTTAGATTTATAACTGGTATTGCAAGGGGTAGCTGATGAAAAAGTTTTAATAAAACAAAAATAATTTTTTTTTTTGACGCGAGTTTGCCGGAGGTAGAAGTTGTGCTGGCCAGCGATCCCATAAGTGAAGAACGTATTAGATTTCATCACAAATACCGAGTTGTATCGTAACTATTGACAACAATGTGCATCAATTAGCTCCTTGAACGTAGTTATGAGTTAATATGAAACTTGATGAGCGGACAAACGTCAATACGGCCATTATAGCCTGCCGGGACTATAGTATACGGTGTGAAAACATTATTCCTAAAAACTCGAAATTTTACAAGAAAACCGCTGAATTCAATAGGGTACTGTACATATACCAATAATTTTTTTAAATATCACAACAATATACATTTTTCCGATAGCTTTATTTCGTTTCTAAAAAAATAATTCTGAAATAAAGTCCGTGTCCCTGTCACTCGACCCGCGCAATAGAACAGTAGTTCTAACACGAAAGGGCGCGACTGGCGCGAGAGCGACATAAAGCGCGATATACTGTTATTCTCACATAAGTCGCGCAAAAAAAAAAAGTCGCTCCTTAAAGTGCTAGCTACGGAAGTAAAAAAACAATGAAAGTGTCGTATGCCTCGATTACAATCGGTTTCTTAATATGAAACACTACAAAATCTTGATAATGATTGGTCGTAGTTTCACATTTAAAAAGAAATAACAAATTCTGTATTTTTATTATAATTTAAACTTTACCCTGATCGCATATCGTTGAAAGTGCAATATCATCAATATCTGTTATTGCAAGTTACGACGTTTTGATATTAAATTGAAATTTCAATCAATGTCCTGCGATCTAGCGGTTAATTACTGAACTACGACGAATTGTAGTTACTTATTTAGTTGTCCAAAAAAGAAGCGACCATATCGCAGGGGCATAAGCTTTACTTTCGTTTCTTGTAACAAAAAAATTCTTTCGATAAACAGAAAATTGAAGATTTATTAAAATAAGCCTTGACGATGATAATAAATACCACCACGGGTAAATATTTGTATCATGTACATACCCATCATTTTCTCGTTCGCAATAGACACGACATGTTTTCGTGGCTACAACCGACGAAGTTCTTGTCGTGTACAAGACCATTCTCATCGTTTCTGTAGCAGACGCGTAGAATTTCTTAGCGTGTACACGCACCCTGAACGTTCCGTAACAATTGAAATTGGACGTAGTTAAGCAAAAAGTTTCCAATCCAGAAAATTATCAAAAAATTAGCTATATATACCAAACTGTTCTTAAAGTCTAACATCTTAGATCAGCAAAAAAAAATGCAACATATGAACGTAAGTAAATATCTCTGGAGTTGCATGACGTTGTAAGTTGTGAAAATAAAACAAGACTGAGAAACACTTAAACTTCAAACTGCCATATTTCGAAAGTGAGTGGACTTGGATTGGATCCTTTTTGTTTAACTACGTCCAATTCAATCTTAGCGAGAGGTATTTATGTTAAAAATTAGACCCATTCACTTGTCAATAGAGAAACTGTCGTTCCCTCACTAGGTTACCGCCGATTTCTAGTAGTTAACTAATTACCCTTAGAATAATAACGCATAGAATGATAGTTTCATATCAAACGAACTGTCACAAGTGAGGCAAAAATCAAATTCATGTAGGCTAGTTTTAGTAGTAGGTTAATTTTCGGTTTTAGTGAAAATTTATATAAAAATTCAAGTTGAAACGCGTTACTTCCTTGTGGAAGTAATTGTGGTGATGTTAGTATCTATTTTATGTTTGTCTGACGTATTTTTACACTCATTACCGCACAATTCGCATTTTTAGCTAAAATTCTTGATCTGTTCGCGGTGCAAGTTGACATTGAGCACTGAAGCCCGCTCGTGTAGGCCCTTTTGGCGCGCCTTAATTTGCCTCACTTAGCGTGTGCGGACTAGGTTTTTATGCGTTATTATTCTAAGTAATTACCCTTTTAAATACTAGATGAAATTATTTAAAAGTGAGGTACAAAACATTTTGTCGTTACATTTGCTGGTAGATGTTAAATTAAATGTTAAACCTTATTTCAGTCTTTAGTAATACAAAAGTGACAGTTAAAAACAACATGGTGTTATTAAAAACTTTAGTTAACCAAGTGTTTAATAAAGATAAAGCGTCCGCAATGATGTCATTACGGATGGTAACGGATTGGGACCTTAGGGAGAAGCATCCAATTATGATCTTGAACGAACTGGGAACTGGGTTCCATTTCCGTGATTTATGCCAGCTTGGACTTCCGCATATGCCTACATTTGGAGTGGCGCTTACTGTGAGTGTTTTTATTTTATATTTATTTAATAATAACTTATCGAGTTCTTAGGTTTTCGATTCGATTGATGTAGGAAAATTTCGACATAGGAAATGAAACTAAAAAAAAAACAGTTGGATGCATTGACTTACAATTATATGGACGTCGGGTCCGCGCTAAAAAGTGTCCGAACTTATAGGGCGTTAAAATCGTATACAGAGCGTCATTCACGCTTTTAGTCTTCGTTTGTTCGACTGACAGCGAAGCAAGCAAAATTAGACAGTAGTACGATGACATTACAATTTAAATTCAACGTTTTAGCTTGTTCATATTCCTTTACATGTCACTACGTTTAAATAGGTTGACTTGGGACATTTTTTTCGTGGTTTTTGTATTAGACCCGTCGTCCATTTATTTGTAAGTCAATGGTTGGATGTGACCATGGACCTGGGGGTCTACTCTCGATCTCCGTCCAACATCCGTCCGAAACAATTACTGCCAAATAAGCAATACTTGACCAAATGAAAAGACGAGTGATGCCAATGAAGCTTCATACTGGATACTTGTCTTTTAAATTTGTTTCGACCCCGAAACGTCGGATTGCTTGAAAAAAGAAACAAATATACGCGATTTGAATACGGAAAAATAGTTTCATTTCCTATAATAATAACTTTTTTTATTAAAAAAAACCGACCTCAAAAGTTCGTGGAATTACATCTATTTGCCAAGTTTTATTGAAATCACTCAATCAATCAGTTTGGAATTTTTTTTTTCATATTTAACCGGGACCAACACTAAGGTACCTTTTTCCAATAAAAAAAATCGTCAACATCGGTTCACAAATTATAACCGGAGTTATCGCGTAACACACATACAAAAAAATAGTCGTATTGAGAACCTCCTTTTTTTGAAGTCTGTTAAAAATTGCCTAAATATAAAATTAGACAGCGTCGCATACGTTGCTCTGGGGGCCTACCACAACCTCTTAAAACAATATTACTTTAACCTTACATTGACTTTTCGTACCATAACGCGCTTAAAGTACACTTATTGTAATGTTAAAACTATGAGTTTTATTGGCAGCTTTGTGACTATTCATTCACTCAATTCGTACTGTGACGCGATTTTAACATTAAAGTAATAATGCTCTTACGTCAAATTTAGCAGTATTAAAATAGTTACAGTGATGCAATGGACTATTACTTTCGAATTTATTGTCTAAATATTAATTTGTAATGATTAAAAGTTAAGTTGAACTTATTTATTTACATATATCTCTTCAATATTTTGTTTATTTTTTTATTTAATAGTACATAGAAACAATTGACGACACCCGTCAATTGTTTCAAACTCGGGCTGCCCAATAGGAGCGCAGTAATGATTTGGCAGAATAGTTTTCAAACAAATTCAAAAAAACGACATTTCGTCTCTATTTCTGGTTATATACTCGATGTACGAACGCGTAGTCGAGTTTAATCGATGTATATTTAAGTGGAATTTTCTTGCCTTTGAAATAAAGATAAATTGGGCCTGTTCAATAAGCTCAATAATATTTGAAAAATGTCTCCTGCAGGTAGCAGATATGACCTTCGAAGGTTGGGGCCATAGCAAACGAGAGGCGCGGGCCAGTGCCGCTCGGGCTTGCTTGGCAGCACTGTTGACGCGCGCCGGTCGAGTCCTACCTGCGCCGCAGCAGCCCCATGATTTTACTAGCGATGAGACAGCTCGCAGTAAGTGTACATTCAGCCTTTATTAGTACTTTCATCACACTTGCACGTTTTTTTTGTATTACCAAGTGACGGGACGAACAAAGCCCGCGGGTTTTATTTGAGGCATTATAGCTAAGTTTGCCTGCATGCAGTCATATTATTTACGTATATATAAAGTAGCGGTAGCGTGACTTGTGAAAGTTTTAGTCCAGGAAAGTACTGCCACCTTACCTATATCTGCCGCCAACATTGACTTACAATTATATGGACGTCGGGTCCGCGCTAAAAAGTGTCCGAACTTATAGGGCGTTAAAATCGTATACAGAGCGTCATTCACGCTTTAGTCTTCGTTTGTTCGACTGACAGCGAAGCAAGCTAAATTAGACAGTACTGCGATGACATTACAATTTAAATTCAACGCTTTAGCTTTTTCATATTCCTTTACATGTCACTACGTTTAAATAGGTTGACTTGGGACTTTTTTTCGCGGCTTTTGTATTGGACCCGTCGTCCATTTATTTGTAAGTCAATGGCCGCCAAGCAGTAATGTCAGTCATTACTGCGTTCCGATTTGGAAGGGTTAAGGGCGTTGGTGAAATTACAGGTACATGGGACTTGTTAACTTATGTATGTCTCGGATCTTTGCGATTTAAAGGTCTGAGGGGCACTGTTATGGGCAGGCGTGTCGCTTACCATCAGGCGCACGGCTTATTCGTCCCTTCACTTGATATGAAAAAAAAAAACATGAAATTGTTCACAGCCCCAGAATTGAAATACGAAGGCAAGCCGCAACCCGTCATGCTTCCAAAGCTGGAGTCGAAGCCGGATCCTCCGGCGGCTGTGTCCCCCCCTCCCACTGCGTCTCCCGCTGCAGCGCTGTTCGGCGTGAACGTGCCGGCGCCCTCGCACAAGAGCCCCATCAACGTGCTGTACGAGAACTACCCTGGGCTTACCTTCATTTGCACCTTTGGCGATGGGTCGTCTTTGGATACTGCTCAAGGTATGTTCTATTAGGTGGCCGTTCGAATGTCTTTTTAAAAAACTAATTTTCCCAACACCCGATTTATTGATAAAAATATACACATAGATCGATAACTGATTGACTTCCCGATGAAGAAGAAACAGATGAAACCATCTTTTTTAAATCTCAAATCGTACGTACCCCACAATCTCGCGCAGTTATTGTCAATGATCTACTGCATTTTTTTACATGGAACCATTAGAATTACTTTAAAATCCAACTTCGACTTCCTAAGCCAGCAGTTTGTCCTACGATGCAGTAAAACCATTTACGGAATTCTGAAAAGTAATTAATTAATATTTCGTGGTTTTGACAACTCTATGTCGCTTCTTGTGACTAATTCAATTAACCGACTTCAAAAAAGGAGGAGGTTCTCAATTTGACTGTATGTTTTTTTTGTATGTATGTTACGCGATAACTCCGGTATTTGTGAACCGATTTTTATGATTTTTTTTGTTGGAAAGAAGGTACCTCCATAGTGGTCCCATATAATTTTGAAGAAAATCATCCACCTCTAAGGGTGGCTGTCCACGCATGAAGATTCATTTTTTTAAATAGCGCCTAAATTTTAGTATAAGGAGCAATTATTTTAATGGTTGATTTTGCTATTCTCCAATTCAAGGCGCTTTTATCTCAATATACTTTGAGTAGTGAGAACCGATTTTTATTATCTCCTGTGTCAAGTCCCGTATAGTGGCGAACTAGGGGATGAATCCGGGTTTGCGCACTTTCCGGTAACCGATTTCAATAAAACTTGGCAATTATATGTAATTCCACGTACTTTTGAGGTCGGTTTTTTTAGTACTCTGTACTGAGATTATTATGTATCACAATTTTCCGACCACTGATAATAACTAATACACATAGCTGTTGCGTGTGTGCGTTATTTATTTATTTAGCTACAAGGAGTGACATAGAGATGTTAAAAGCACCAAACATTAATTAATTACTTTTTTCGAGTTCCGGATTTCCGGATGAAAGAAAA